ATGGTTTCCCTACGCATCCGCAGGACATCAGGCGTTCTTAATTGGTGGCTATTACTTTTGATTAGTGATAACAGAAACTTCCTCCAGAGGCCTTGGTTATAAGGTGTTTTTATGACAGCTATACACGATGGTCTTCCAAGTAATTCTCTTTATATTCAGCCCTCCTCTCTTCACCCCACCTTGGAGAGTATTTTTCTTGCCAATTTAGAATTACCATGGGGAAAAAAATGGATATCCTATTAGATACCTCTGGGAGATGGCATAAACATTAAACAGGCTTTTTAATTTTTTTCAAGATGATTGCACAAGCAAATACCAGCTTCTTCCTTCCTTTTTTCTCTCCTTCTCCTCAGAAAATCTTGTTGGTTAAAAACTTCTATTATTACTATTGATCAGATACATGGGGTTTTTAAAAAGTTCATGGAAAAGTATGTTACAAAAAAATCCTAAATGAATTTCCAATTTTTTCCACAGAAGTAAACTCATACTTGCATTTCGTTTTTCCATGGACTTTTTGAAGTCCCCATGTGCTAAGCTGATATGTAGATGAAATCTGCTCTGTCAAGTCATTGTGGTCAGCAACTGAAACTCTTTTTCATTAGCAGTGAATCTGTTTCATCTTAGTTCTTGATCTGGCCATGGAAGCAGTGTTACTATATGTCAAACTTGGGCCCAGTCTAGCTTGTCCACAAACTCTTGAAACTTTAAAATGGGAGGTAATGGGGTATGATGGGGTAGTTAAGTAGTAGTAGTATGTAGTAGTTAAGGCACTGGACTCCCACGTGGCTGACCACAGTTCAAAGCTCAGACATGGCACCTTGAAAATCATGCTGGGCATGTGTGGATGCATGTCCAAAATCCCAGGAGAATGAAAGAGAAGACATGGTGGAATGGCCATCCCCTTGGTGGGGGTCAGAGAGATAATTTCTTACTTTCTCTCATGCTGTCTTTCTCTGTCTCCTTCCTTCCTGATGAGCCCATGCACCCTATGGCAAAAACCTTGAAAGAAAGAAAGAAAGAAAGAAAGAAAGAAAGAAAGAAAGAAAGAAAGAAAGAAAGAAAGAAAGAAAGAAAGAAAGAAAGAAAGAAAGAAAGAAAGGAAGGAAGGAAGGAAGGAAGGAAGGAAGGAAGGAAGAAAAGAAAAGAAAAGAAAAGAAAAGAAAAGAAAAGAGAGAAAGAAAAAGAGCGAGAACAAAAATAAGTTCAGATTTTAGACTCAAAGGAGCCAAAACTCAGAGCCTCCTTCCCCTTCACTTTATGGCTTTTACAGTAACAAAATGGAATTTTAGAAAGAAATCTGTCTTTTCATGGTACCCTCTGTACTCCTTGATCCCCTTCCCTGAGAAGGGCCCATCTACCGGCAGTTGATGTGTTTGAGTGGGGGCTCGTCCCCTGTGTGCCAGGGTTCCCACAGCAAGAACAAGAATAATAAGCACAAAATGGTCAGAGGTCATAGAGCTAAACCTATTCAGCGTGAAGAACTGTCTTTTATTCTTAGATTATGTCCTTTACCCTTTTGCTGTCTTCTTCTGTCTCCTTCCTTCCTGATGAGCCCATGCACCCTATGGCAAAAACCTTGAAAGAAAGAAAGAAAGAAAGAAAGAAAGAAAGAAAGAAAGAAAGAAAGAAAGAAAGAAAGAAAGAAAGAAAGAAAGAAAGAAAGAAAGAAAGGAAGGAAGGAAGGAAGGAAGGAAGGAAGGAAGGAAGAAAAGAAAAGAAAAGAAAAGAAAAGAAAAGAAAAGAAAAGAAAAGAGAGAAAGAAAAAGAGCGAGAACAAAAATAAGTTCAGATTTTAGACTCAAAGGAGCCAAAACTCAGAGCCTCCTTCCCCTTCACTTTATGGCTTGCACAGTAAATAAATGGCTTCTTAGAAAGAAATCTGTCTTTTCATGGTACCCTCTGTACTCCTTGATCCCCTTCCCTGAGAAGGGCCCATCTACCGGCAGTTGATGTGTTTGAGTGGGGGCTCGTCCCCTGTGTGCCAGGGTTCCCACAGCAAGAACAAGAATAATAAGCACAAAATGGTCAGAGGTCATAGAGCTAAACCTATTCAGCGTGAAGAACTGTCTTTTATTCTTAGATTATGTCCTTTACCCTTTTGTGTTAAAATATGCTTTCTTTAATGAAGTGATGACAGAAGATCAAGGTTATTCTCAGTGTCCCTGTAGTAGCAAAATAAGAATGTTGGCCTCCTAACAATTTTTTCTGGCTATTGTTCTAGCAAAGTGTATGAAGTCCAAAAGTGTGGACCTACTGTTCTAGAATGTGAGCAAGCCCCTCCACAGTGGGGACAGGGCCTTTGCACAGTTGTCTGTACTGTTCAGGCCAGGGCCTGCTTCCTGGTAGGGGCTCAGCAAACATACGTTCACTGACAGGAACATGTTGATTAGTCTGCATTGACTCAATGTAAATTTGTAGGTATTTTGGAAAGAGTAAAGGATTTAGCAAACGCTGTGATGTCTCAATTCTGACATGGACTCTGACCTCCCGGACAGTTAAAGCATAAATAATTGATGGAGCTATCATCCGAAGAATCGTTAAGAGTCGTTCAGAACCTGGGAACCAGCAGTTAGCATAATGGCTATGTCGCTGGACTCCCACGTAGTCGACCGCGGTTCGTGTCCCGGACCCGGTGGCTTAAAACTCATGCCGGGCGCGTGTGCGTGCGTGCCCAAGATCCCGAGAGGAGAATGGAGGAGAAGGGATTGCAGCGTGATTTCTCGCTTTCTGTCTCTATGTCTCTCTCCGTCTGTCTGGTGAGCGCACGCGCCCTACAGTGAAAATCTCTCCAAAAAAAAAAAAAAAAGAGTCGTTCA